AAGAGAGATAGGTGAGGACTCAGCTGCATCGCACTTACCATCAGGTGAGATGGATGCTAACCTTGATGATACTCCAAGTCTGCCGAAATCTAAGAGAAGCCGCCTGAATAAAATTCCTGATCCTCATTTTCATGAAGAAGTTCAGGATGATGCAACTATGGAGGAGAAGAAGAAGGCGGTGGAGAAGATAAGAGAGGTCAGAGAGGATGATGGAGAGAAGAAATTGGAGGCTGAAATCCAAGAATCTTTTCCATCTGAAGTAGTTGCTGATAAGGATCCTGTGGATGCTGACAATACCTATGAGTTGCATACCTCACCTTTGAGGTTGCTTGGAGAGATTACAAATGATCCAGGTATTGGCTTTTATCAACAATGCTTCAGGGAAACTCACGCGAGATTGTTGAACCATGTTTGTTTCAGAAAAGGTGAGCTTTCCCATCCTCACTATCAGGCAAGGATCAACGAGAACGACTTTGTTCGATCCATTCGAAAGGTCTGTCTAGTACCTCCACCTGATTGTTATGAGGACAGCCGCGAGCATGACCTGAAGAGATTTTTCATCAATGATGATCGCATCGTTTATTTGGATGACAAGTATCAGGTCGATAAAAGGGCCCTTGAAAGGGCAGAACAAGCTCGAGAAGATTTGGAGGTTACAAAGGAACAGTTTAGAGGAGAACTGGAATCATATGGTCCCAAGGGACCCAGTTGGGACTTTGTCGCCTTCTATGAAGAGCTGTGCAAAAGGTTCCTTAAAGGAAGAATAGAAGAACAATATGGAACTAATTTATTGGCCAGCTCTGAGTCCTTGACATTTTTATCCTGGAACTATGGCAACATGGTTCGTGGTCAGAAATACACCACACCAAAGTTTCTCCAAGGACTTGATCGTGCAATGAAGCCACGCAAGCAGAGTGCCATGTCACTTCAATATGAGCAATTTGAAAACAACCTTTTCTTCAACATGCTCTTCTTTTTACGTGCACATGTCGTGATTCTCCAGGAAGCTCAACTCCTTGTTCCTGCCAAGGAATTTATTGAGCAAAAGAATTGGACAGTTTGTTTCAATGATTGGGAGAATCTTGCAGTGATGGCTAGATTGGCACCAGATGGCTATATCAAGATCATTGCTGGACATGACCAAGACCTTGGTCACTGTCAACAGCGTGATGTAACTTGGGCTATCTATGAGATTTGTTTTGGAGAAACGGCCTCGTCAGGACTTCAAGGATGCAGACTATGAATTTGAGGACTATGGTCCTAAGGAACAGCGTGTTCCACTTACTCGAGCGAACATGCATACCATCAGAGTCTGTAATTATCATGTTGATACACATCGTGCTGTGGATGCCCACCTACTGACAGGAGAACAGACAGCATTGATGCTTTATGAATGTTTTGTATATGAGGTGGACATCATTTCTGGTGATGCAAATCGTTTGGCCTACAGAATGTCTGGATACAAAAGGCAGCCAATGGCTAACTATTATTACAGCACCATGCAGCATTGGATCCGCAAGTTTTCAGAAGCCCGTGTAAAAGCAGATCCTGGTATCAAAGCACCTATCCCCAGAACATTTTACAGTTCATCTTCACTTGTCCTCAAGCAGTGTGAAGATTACTTTGAGAAACTCTGGGAAGAATACTCTACAGAAGAAAAAGAAGTATACCAGGGATCAAAGCTTGGCGATACATGTTTGTCTACCATTGTTGAATGGGGTCATTCAATGAGTGGAGAGGAATATTCAAATTCCACATTGAGCACGAAGGAGTTCGTCTGTAATTTTTCAGAGAACTTTGCTTTGATTGACACGGAGGTCATGTGCTCTAAACCCTCTGACGATGACAGTCACGGTCCAATGTTTATTTCACTCAGACCAGCTTCCTTTTCATCTGGAGACAGAAGACTTTATCGCTCGGGAGAGACTCTTCGAGATGCTAACTTGCGGAGGAAGGAGAGACAGAAAGAGAATAAAAGGAAAGGAAGGCCGCCAACTTCTGATCAAGCAGCTCCATCGACTGCAGCGGCATAAATTCAGAGCGGAGGCTAAAATTTAAATGATAGCTAGGAAGTGAAGATACTTCTGATCACAGTTGATACTTTGCTTCCAGGCTTGACTTTAAGTTGCCAGGCTGAAGTTTTAATGAATCATGGTTTGCAACAAGGAGAAACTTTTTGTCAAAGAAGATACTCCTGCATTCCAGGTTTATATGCTTTAGCACGCAGATAAATACAGTTTACTAAACGGTTATTATCTGCAGGTAGGTATGGACAGTTTTTCAGAACTGATGATAACTACCACAGCCGCTCTTTTGAAGTGACCTCTAATGGACAACCATTCATGGTTGATGATTAAGTCATTTCATAAGTTTGCATTTGTAGTGCAAGTTTTGTACATACATTTGCCGGTGTCTCCTTCCTTTTTGTTTTTGATGTCAATGAGAAAGAGTCCTTTTGATGCAGTTTAATTTTGTGTAAGTCCTGTGTATGGAAGCGGCCGAGACCACTTTTCGAGAAGACCATTCCTCGGACCGAGAGTTGACGCTCCTTGCATTTTGCAAGGCATCTTAATTCATTGCATTTTGCGCGGTCTTGAATTTTTAGTTCTTCGTTACGCGAGTGTCGTTTACTGCTTTTACAGGTCTCTATGCAAGAAAGCCGCTTTCCTTGAATTTATAGTTTCTTTGAAGCTCTGGCTATTTAAGGGCTATTGAGCGCCGGTACATGGTATCTTCGCCGGTGAACGATACAGTCTCCAGCCGAGATACATTGTCTTTGACTTTGTATTTGAGGTGAGTCAGCTATTGCTCCCTCACTGTATTTAGTATACCTAGAGATTACCTTTTCTAAAGTGTGTAATACACTGGAATTGGTAAGTACAGGGCACCGTGGTTTCCTTTTAAGCTTACTAGAGCTTGCTGGACTGTTTTAGCCTTGCGGTAGAAAAATAGTGTGCGACATACGCAATAGGCAGGAGTGGACATGAATTTTGTGCCTGCTGAAATGTAGAGGCCTACTTGTACAGGTTCCACTCCAGTGGCCTATCTAGTGTGTCCATACTTGACTGCCATAAGGCTCAAGAGGATAAGACTCTGCGCATAAAAGACACTAGCGGTCTGCGCCTCAACCGTGTACGCCCTAGTCACTCTTTCACCAACCCCCCCCGCGCCACGAAATCTGCACTTCATCCCCGACACCCGCGCCTGCCACGAAATCAATATTTTAAGGTGAACTCCCCGGTGCAAAACTTTCTAACCAAGCAAATATGCCTCCTCTATCTATCTATCTATCAATCAATCTCATCTCATCTCATCTCATCTCATCTCATCTCATCTCATCTATCTATCAATTTATCTTTTTATCTTTCTATCTTTCTGCAGTTCAACATCCACAAAGTACTGCACCTGCCACGAAATCTGCACTTCAAGGTCCACAAAATCTTGCGCCTGCCACGAAATCTGCACTCCAAGGCCCACAAAGTCCTGCACCTGCCACCAACTCTACACTTCCACACCCACAAAGTCCTGCATCTGCCACGAGATCTGCACTTCAAGGCCCACAAAAAGTCCTGCGCCTGCCACAAACTCTGCACTCCAAGGCCCACAAAGTCCTGCACTTGCCACGAAATGTGCTTTGCAAGGTCCACAAAGTACTGCACCTGCCACGAAACACGAAAAACAAAACAAAAACAGAAATAAATTCGCAACCTCTTTAAAAATATTGGAGGGATTGATCAATAAGAACCCCTGTGTCAACATTACAGCCACAGCCTGGCTGCGGTAATACATGATCTTGCCGCAGGTGTGTTGGTCGCGCTTGTTTGAGAGAAACGGCCACTACTTCACTGTCTCCTTTGTCACTGAATGGGGTACCTCTTGGCTTTGTAAAAAAGGGCCCACAAAATGCCGCGCAGTGGTGCTTTGTCAAAAAACATGATTCTCACCTCTCGCCGCTCGCCTGCGCATCATGTTCTTTTCCTTTTTCGTTTCTAGCCTCCAACCTACTTAGCGATGGCTAGAAGCGCATCGAACAAGGAATGCTGCACAGCTCGGAGGAAACGCACGACGGACATGTTGTAATATCGACGGTCCCAACGATCTGCAGAATACTTTGCAGGTGTTGGGAGGAGCGACGACCTGCGTGCAGAATACCTTAGCCTTGCGGAAGATGCGTTTGGGTGATGGTAACGTGTCGGATCTCGCAAGACCTTGCAGCTTGAGCGAAACTGCCGAAGCGGGCTTGGGAGGACAGTGGCAACGCAATATGTTGCAGAAGGGGTCGCGGGAGGAGCACCAGCGGTGCAGAAGACGCTCGCGGGAAGGGGGAACATCTAGCGTTGTGAATCTGAGCGCGGAAGGCCGAATGTCACAACGCATTGGGACGCGGGCTTGGTTGAATCAGGGGTGGATCTGAATGCGGATGTGGAGCAGGTTTTTGGAGGACCAGTCTAAGAAAAGGCAAAAGAGACATGTCCAATGTAGACCTCCATCATTCTCTTGGATTTGCAATTTGCCGTGCCAGGTGACTGCCAAGATTGCCAAGCACAAATTACTAGTGTATAAGATGCAACAAAATGGTAGTCGCTTGAGTGGTTGCGCACGCACGCGTTTGTGGGCTGGCACTCCCTCCCTAGGAAAGTGGCAGTCCCTGCTCCAAAATTGAGAATTCTTCCAAGTGAAGGTTGGAACTAGTCATTAGTTTGCCATGTGCAATATACTGCAAGATATATATATATTATACGTAAAACAAAATAGTCTTGTTATTATGTATTTCCACAGCCGGACGATCAATCACTGGTGGGCAACATGTTGTCCAATGAACATGTATGTGAGAACCAAGAGACAAAATGTCTTCCAAAGTGCGTCATTGGTTCTTCTCCAGGCGAGAAATTTGTTATGTCACAATTGAAATAGCTGCGGGACTGTGGGACTGTGAGGAAATAGATGCAAAAAAAAGTTCCATTGTAAACTGTTGCCTTCTTGATGCCAGTGTTCTTCAGGCCGAACTTCCAGCAGAACTGATGGTGGACTCTTGGCTAACACCGAACTCTGTGTGGTTTCTTGGCCCTTTCAGTCACAACAAAACGCACGAAACCTGTGCAAACCTCACGCCGTGTGTTTCGCACTCTTCTCGCTTCTCTTATCATTTCGGTCCCCAGGTTCATCCGTCATCATCACCCCGTGCCGGTCATTGATCCGGAACAGTGGCGCTTGTCAGTGGGTGGCATCGGGACCAAATGCGTCACTTTGTCCCTGGAAGATTTAAAAAGCCGGTTCCTGAAGCGGGAAGTGCCTTGGAGACGTATTTTTAGCCCGATGCTTTTAGAACTCATTTAGTTTGTTTCTGTTGTGAGCGCTTGATTGAATCATCTTTGTTCGTGCCGAATGCTTTGTGCGTAGCAATTATGTGCTGCAATTTCATTTGTGAGGTTGTAGCAACCCTTCAGTGTGGCGGCAATCGGCGATCCGAACTCGACCAGATTGAAAAGACCTCTGGCATTCCGTGGGGCTTCGGAGCGATGTCCACCGCCAGATTTGGTGGAGTGTATTTGCGTGAAGCCGCTTCGACGAATCCGCCGTGGTGAAGGGCTTGAACCGACACATTCCAACAATTTGTTCAAAACAGGACATGTTTTGAATGTTCTGAGGGCTTTGTCCAGCATGTCTTAGCCGATTGCATGGGGCTTAGGTTTTGCAGCATTGCGCGGGCTTGAGCCACGAAAACGTGGAAGCTTTCGAGGCTCATTGTTCTGCGCTGCAGTCTAAAAGGGTCTTCGCTCACGTCGGTGAGGTGCAACATGTGATTTTCAAGTCTCTGGATGGGATGGAGGCACAGAGCGCGGTGATGTGTCCATTAATGGGAGAAGGAGCAGCGAAGGGCGGTTGCCGAAAGCTCAAAGAGGTGTAAAGTGGACTTGTTGGGTTCGAGAATCGAAAATAGCATTTGTATAACATGGATAGCTTTTTGATGCATGGTTGGCTTGGCCGAAGTCGCCCCTCTCCATGATGTTTTTTGTTGGCCAGCGAAGTGCGTCACTTTACACGACTGCTTCGCTGCTCAAGTTGCTCCTTTTTTGGGGGGAGGGGGGGTGACACGATCAAGGCCAGCATTCCAGTGGAAAAGGCTTTGAGCCCATACGGCGACGTTCTTTTGGCGTACGAGATGAACGGTGAGACTTTGAACATGGAGCATGGGGCTCCTGTGCGTGCCATCGCAAGGCACCTAAGATCTTTGCTGTCATGTCAGTAGAGAGCAAACAAGACAAAATGGAAGGAGCAGGAAAGAGACACAGCACAAGAGACTTGTCGTGTGCTGAGAGAACTCAAGTTGCCTGCTTGCACACTCTAGTGGATATCCTAAAGGCACAAATTTGCAGGCGTTGTTGGACATAAGTTGGAGCCCCTGACGAATGTACAATTTCGAGTTGGGGTCAAAGATACAGCGATTATATATGTTACAATACTATGCAGTCGACCCTTGAAATTGTACATTCATCAAAGGGGCCGAACTTATACCCAACAATGTTTGCGGTTTTCCCATATACTTCTTTTATTCATTTGTAGCGCGGCACTTGTCATCTCTAGGTCGAAAATTCATAGCGATTACAATAAAAATATACGGCATAAGACCTAGCGGTGAATGGTGCTAAAACCGCAGGCATTGTTAGATAAATTGGTCCCCAAAAAGACGATTTCAAGGGGATCGAAAACAGAGCGACAATGTGGTTAAACATCGCTACTAGGGGCTCCTGGCCTATCCTGGCCTTACTACTAGGAGCAAGGACGCTACTAGGGGCTCCTGGCCTCACTACACATTGCTTTAAGCCCTGCTCATTCGCCGTCTGCCGTGTTGGCTTGGACTACGTTTCTTTGCGCTCTCTCTTTCAAAGCAACGGTGCGACAATCGTCGTGCGAAGCGGCTTGAACAAGTAAAGCCTCAAGCCAACCCGCAGGCAAGCCTAAAGACACCCTGAAGAAGTGAAACTCTAAGCCAATCCCAAAGAAACCCCAATGTTGCCTCCGTCCTCTTTGCTCCTTGTCCTTTGCATTGTGACGTTGTTTTTCTTCTCCCCCCTCTCTCTCTCTCGTCTAAAACACTCCGGGAAAAATCAAAGAACCGCGCGGCACGGAAAAAAAACAACAAAAATCATCACCCATTGCTGAGTGTGCAAAGGCATCAACGGTTTCAATCAGCCTGCATCTCTGAGGTTCCGGGTGTGGTGGGCGTCCGAAATGTCAAATGGCTTGGTGAGATCATCGCTTCCAGAGACTTGGCGTAACGCAGATATTCGAGGCTTGAAGCTCGAGACACGTTTCGAATCTTAACTTGGTCACCTACCTATGTATATAGCGTTTGCGTCGCCATGCATGTGCATTTATTGAACTTCATATTTTCATGTTTATGGCATTCTGCCGTTGGGCTAGAAAGGGCCCTGGAGACATCACCGCTTTTGACCCAGGTCTTTTGCTTCAGGGCTTGGCATGTTTGTGTCAGGGGTTGAGTTTGATTTACATCAATGTTGGTAGCAGAGCCACATATCCAGGTTGTTGGCTCTGATGGCGAGACTTTGCTTCTTTTTTTTTGGATCGTGCTCGGCAAGACAGAATGGGAGAGATCACTTCCAGCACCGCCCACCATCAACATCAGACTCCTGTGACGGGCCGCGACGGCCGAGGCGTATCCGTCCGTCACTGGAAGGTTGGAACTTTCGAGAGGCAATGTCACAGGAGGGGATAGGAGGCTGCAGTTGAATTGAGGTGCCTTGCTCCTGACTTCTCAGCTCAATGATCTTTCATGGGGGGCTGTGGAAACTGACTGAGCTTCCAGCTCGACGTGAAGGGCTCTTCAGTGGCTTTACCTGCCCCAAAGCAGACAAACTCTTCTTCCAAACAATCTCCTTCTTCATGCTGCTCTTCTTTGCCCTCTAAGAATTCATTGAAGAAGTTCTCCTCTTTTGACCTACGCTTCAAGTCGGTGACGATGGCCATCTTCATGAGAGCTCGACGAACTTTATCATACTCAATCGCTCTTTGACACTGTGCCTTCACGAGTGCGTGTGTCGATTTTGGAACCCCAACTCGCGTCAACAAAGGGTGGCCTCCCAAAAGCTAGAAATGGCGCCTGGGTGTCCAGGCGTCCACTTCATGTATCTTGCCCCGAGGATTCTTCAGGCTTGCGTGAACCTTGGGGCGCCCAGTGTAGCGAACGCGCCACCAACTGTCGAGTCGCAGCTTGATGCGCCAACGCAGCCTAGTTCTGACTACGCGCCCACAGAGAGCGGGGGCATGACGGGGCAAGGCGACGCAAAGAAGATGAGGAGATGAAGGAAGAGACACACGCCACGGCGCCTGCAGAACAAACCACTGCGACAGCAGATCGCCTACAAACTGCCGCCGCCATTGCGCAAACCAGCGGCAGCAGAACGGACGACCGCCGCTCCTGCAGAGGACAAAGAAATTTGAAAGGAAGAAGAAGAGTGAGAAACCAGCTCGGGTTGAGGTGGTTGGATAACAACGCCTAGAGCGCTGTGAACAGGGCAGGGGCGAGAGTTGCTTCCAATGCTTTCCAGAACAGATTGAACGATGACTTTTTGGGGGCGTCTCAGACCTTTTCGGCTGATGTCAAGAGCGCTTTCATGTAGGCCGATTCGATAGATAACAACAAAAGGTTTCTCCAAGACCTCCAGTGGTATGAGGAGAAGGTTGGAGCGACTGATGCCTCCGAGACTGCGAAGGGTGCAAGGCAACCAAACCTGCCACCACGGCGGTAGCATATCCTTTTTGGAGTGCGCAGTCGTTCTCTGACATGCTGGGAGCTTGCGCATTCCTTTTTGCTTCTCTCCACCGGAGTCTCCACCTTCTTCCGCGCCGCTAGGAATTGACGCGTCGCCGAACAATGATCTATTATGCCCCTTCTGCTCACTCTCCTTTTGCAGCAGCTGTGCACAATGGAACACGCACTTCAGCTGACGCAGCCCCTTTTGCTTTTACACAGCCAAAACTTTGTTGGCCGGTTTTGACAGCAGCTGCTGTGATGAATTGACTCGACCCACCTCCAAGCGTCGGACATAAGGTCTCTCGTGATCATGAGCTTGATGTTGTGGAAGGAGGGTGAAGTTTTTGGCGTCCGTGATACCAGGTGTCTCACCTTACATTTTCATTATTTCATTCATCCTTCTCTATACACACAGGGGGTTTCTCGTCGCAGCTGCAAAAACTTTGAAAGGGATTCTGGTGAGCTTGCTTTGTCAGTCACAGTCAAAGCCACTGGTTTCTCTGATTGCAAATCTCCCTCCTCCAATGCCAATAAGACTAAGGGCAGAACAGTGTTTGGGGCGCGCCATTGGGTCTCACGCTTCAAGCTGCGTCCGCGCACGCCCAATAAATACGAAGCTCAGGGAGGTGGTTGGACACATTTCTTGCCGCGCCTCAACAGCTCGTTAGCCACCAATATGCTTTGCGCACATGCGTGGTGAACTCGAGCTTGCCTGAAGGATACTAATCTGGGTGGCTGTTAAGGGGGATTTTTTTCCCCCAGCTTCTCGGCTAAAGCCTGCCAGTTTTTCAACTCAACTTCTCAGCCTGAGCCCTGCCAGCTTTTCAATTCAACCTGTGATTGACCAGCTTCTCAACCTGAGCCCTGCCAGTTTTCCAACTCAACCTGTTGATTGACCAGTGATCCCCCAGCTTATCAACCTGAGCCCTCCCGGCTTTTCAAGTTGACCATTAAGTCCCCAGCTTCTCAACCTGAGCCCTCCCGGCTTTTCAATTTGACCATTAAGTCCCCAGCTTCTCAACCTGAGCCCTCCCAGCTTTTCAACTCAACCCGTGGTTGACCAGTGATTCCCCCCAGCTTCTCAACCGGAGCCCCCCCAGCTGTTCAACTCAAGCTGTGATTGATCATTGAGCCTCAACTAATCCCCCAAGATTCTTAACTCAACCTGATTGAGTCCTCCCAGCTTTTCAACCCAGCTTGTGGCTGATCTTAGCCCGCGTAAGATTCTCAACTCGGTCCGGAAAAGTCCGGAAATTGAGGACACATGAGCCGCTCCAAATTTTCACAAGAAGCTGAAACGCTTAAATAATCCCCATGCAATTTTCAAGACTTGACATGTCACTGGTCTTAGTCTAGCTATTCTGAAAAGTCCAGGCATTTAAATTTAACTAAGTTAGTTGACAAAATTATGACAAGTATTGTTTGTTTTTGGGGAGCAAGGCCAATGCCACAAAACGAAAAAACAAGTCAGAAACTCAGCAGATTTACGCCAAACATCATTACACAAAACATTTGTAACTCAAAAGGAAACATCAATGACAATGATCCTATAACAACGACAAGTGGTATCAATTCACTGTCAATGACATGATGACTGACATTTTTATGCAATTTCACCAAAACTCAATGCCAATGTTTTACTGCGCTCCACAGATCCAGCGACGACAAACACTATGGTTTGTTATTCCAGCCAGGCTTTTCAGCTTGGTACTCCAGTCACTCGTCATTGTCATGTATGTGTGAGGTCACCTGGTGACTTGTGAGTACTGTTTCAAAAGCTAAGCCGAGCCTACTAAGCAAAGGGCACTTCCGGCAACAATTCCAAGTAACAGTCAGTGGTTTGTATTTTAATTTAAGGCAGTGAACACAGTAATACTCAGGGTAATGAACACAGGGCAGTGAAACTGGTTTGAAATACTGGGTAGTGAACACAGTAGTAGTGGTGAAGGAGAGTGAACTGTTGAACAATGAAAGACGCTGCCGAGTGCCCTTTGAAATTACCGGCCTAAGGCGGCGCCGGCAAAGCCAAAAATGAGAATCTGCCACTGACTGCTTCGACATCTTCGAAGCTGGTGATTCTCTCTTGTAAATGGCACAAGTGTGACCATTTGTGAAAAGCCACGCATAGGCGGCGGCAATTTTCAAGCCATTCAACTACATCCGGGCCGTGGCAATCTGGATTATTGCTCAACGCAACATACGCCATGAAGCCTTCCATTCTGCCTCCAAGGGTTTCGTCGTTGGTCATCAGGGCCTCAGATGACGAGAGCAAGGGAAGCTGCAGAAACTATCCATTTGTGGGAAGTCCGGGAAGTCCGAAACACAAGAAAACATGACAATAAAAAGTCAGTTTACTTTTATTACTAAAGTCGAAACAGGTGACAATGACATGACAATGACGACAAATCAACAAATGTGGATGACAATGACTCAACAATGATCAATGCAACCATGGTTCCATATCAACATAAGCTGGCAACGCTAGCCTTGGATTTGCTTCACCAGGAAAAGTTAAAAAAGCCCTCAAACGGAATTCACACTGGAGGGGGAAAATAAAAATTCACCGAAAGCAAAACCATGCAACCTCAGGACGTTGGCGAAGTTGCTACCCGCAACACATTGCGATTTGCATGGTATATGCCATGCCAATCACCACCGTCAAAGTGGAAGTGCTGGTACGCAATGATTTCCATCCTGCTTTGCATTGCAGACATGTCCATCAGCAACTCAAACATTTCGTCGGAGAGCTCGAGGATTTGCTGGGCCTTTTGCTCGCGAGCGACTCTCCTGAGCTGTTCTGCGCGGCTGGACATGGTCACGACAATGACACCCTGCAGCCATTAAACCATGACAATGACGATACCCCACGGACATTTATGAACCAACACCAAAGTGCTCTCTGACACGAATAACACGCAAACTTACAATGACAATGAACTGCAACAGCTGGTTCCTTGATTCCTTGAAACATCCATTTCAACTACAATGCAAATGACTGCAAGAGCTGACTCATCATTTTTATTCAACTGCGAAACAGTCCAATGCCTGCTGCCAAAGCGGGGACATACAACCACCAAATGCAGTACAATGAACTGATACCATTGTTTTAAAAAATGAAAATGTGAAACTTATCATTGTCATATAATAGGTTTTTTACTTGTGTGTTTTTTGATGTGTTCTGTCTTGGTTTGCTCCATACTGTTATAGACAAAGGTTTTTCTTGTTGTTAAAGCCAAAATTTGTTTGTCTTTTTAATGGGGCAAATCTAAGTTTGAATGTGGGTCAAAACTGCGATTGATCGGGACTTGGTGTTGACATTGTAAATGTATGACAATGACAGACCCCCGGTGGCCCGGTGTTAATAATGTAACTGCCCCAGTATTACATTTTGTAATATGACTTGAGTTTCCGCAAACGTTTGTTTTGATTAACTGAACTGTTGATTGACAAAGACAGGGTTCATTCATGAATAGAAGGGCTCGTTGAGAAA